AAGCTCAAATAATTCCTATACCTAAAAAAGCGAATAACTCAAGTTTCTCTGACTACCGCCCAATTTCCATACTCCCATTTCTATCAAAAGTTTTTGAGCGTGTTATCCACAATCAATTAAGCCTCTTCATATCCAAGCGAAATCTTTTTAATCCATTCCAATCCGGTTTCCGCGCTGGTCATAGTACGACTACTGCTTTAGTCAAGATTACTGAGGACATTCGACTCGGGATGGATAACCAATGTGTTACAGTATTGACATTACATGACTTTAGCAATGCATTCAACAATGTCGATTTTGACCTCTTATTAACAATTTTACAATCTCTTAACATATCTCCTGAAGTGATTGACTGGTTTCACAATTACTTGTTTGGTCGCCGGCAACGGACGCGCATTGATGATTCGTTCTCTAACTGGCGCACGATCAATGCTGGTGTACCACAAGGTGGCGTGTTGTCTCCTCTTCTTTTTTCAATTTTCATTAGTTCTATTACGCTCCGATTATCTTCTAGCTACCACCTGTATGCTGATGATCTCCAAGTTTATGTTCAGGGAAAAATATTGGACTTGCCCGACACGATTCAGTTATTAAATAAAGATCTTGACTCAATTGTGGAATGGAGTAAGTCGTATGGTCTGAAAGTGAATCCATCAAAAACGAAAGCTATAATAATAGGCAGTCAAAAATTAGTTACTCGTATTGACCTATCTTCTTTACCTAACATCGTGCTTGATGGGACTTGCGTGCCTTACAGTGACACCGTTAAAAATCTCGGCGTTACCTTTGACAAATTTTTATCTTGGGCCCCACATGTGAACGAGGTGAGTAGGAGATTGTTTGCATCGGTCGGATCTCACCGTAGATTAGGTAATTTCCTACCCATACCAACTAAAATTACACTTGCACAAACACTCCTATTACCGATTCTCGATTATGCTGATTCATGCTATTCGAATCTTAATGAGGACTTACTTAATAAACTTGAGCGCATTCAAAATCTTTGTATACGGTTTATATTTGTACTCCGAAAATATGACCATGTTTCCTACCAAATGTGGCTACCGATTCGCCTTCGCAGGAATACCCACATTCTTTCTCTTTTATACTGTATTCTATTCAATCCTACTTCCCCTCCTTATCTAAAAGAGAGATTTGAGTTCCTCAGTAACACTCACTGTCACTCTCTTCGCTCCGATAATAACCTGACCTTAAAAATTCCCTCCCATAATACTTCCTTCTACTCCAAATCCTTTTCTGTCAAAGCGGTCAGGCTTTGGAACTCCTTACCGCTTCAAATCCGGCAAGCACAATCACTGGCAATATTTAAAAGACTCGTTAAAGCTCACTTTTTTCCTCCCTAAACATCTTATCTCCATATTATGATTTTTATATTGTATATATAAATATATATGTATTTATTCATATATATATATATATATATATATATATATATATATATATATTTATATATATATATTTATTTATTTTATGCATATATTTGTGTATAGTAGTGTTGTGTATCTATAATACCTATATTTACAATAGCGTATACCTCAAACCCTTCTCACTGATCATTGTATCCTCAGTAACATGGTTGCCTGGAAGAAATCGCTTCTAAGCGATAAGGCCGCCAATTGTACCTTTATGTAATTGTTTGTTACTTTTGTAATTTTGTCTGGTGTACAATAAAGCATATTTCATTCATTCATTCATTCAGCATTTATTAGAAATATAAAGTATTTAACTGTGGATTGAACTAGCTTTAAAGATTCATAAATGCAGTTTATGTAATTCGTAAAAGTAAATTGGTTTTGAAAAAGGAGGCAAACGAGAACATGAGGATGAACAAGCCCATGAACACTTGCAGCTTCGGAGGAGTCACAATTGCGTTTCTGGCCTTAAAACGTACCTTAAACGTAGGCGAGTTTCTTGAAGGTCCCCTTGGTCCCCTAGCCAAGTCCTACGTCCTATCCGGAAATCGTTTGAATATATCATTTTTGTATATAAAAAATAAATAGAAGAATCAATTATAGCTATATTTACAAATACAATAAACGATCTGTGGGGAAAATGCCGGAATTTAAGAAATAAAAGATTAAGTTGGCGAAGGCGTACAACTGCTACTAAATTGCGACAGGCGTCAACACGATCCACGTCACAAATTCACGCAATATAACATTGCAGTTATAGTACGGATGCTTCGCCACTTACCATCAAGGTGGGATGGCAGTTAAGTGCTGGCCCATTTTGAATTGACTGATTGGTGAAAAAAAGAACGCACAATAGATATCACTAAGCATTGCTAAAAATGCAATAAAAGAACGTAGATAGGTGATAAACGCGAATACCACATTCGCGTTTATCATCAACAGTTGATAAAGCGTCTGGACGCGACACCAAAAGACAAAGGTTCTAATCCCTTAGTACTTAAACTTAGAGTAACGTCATTGTTTTTATGCGTAAGATTACGTGCCGCAGAAGTACCAAAATTTTTGCCACTTGTCAAATGAAGAAGTTTTCGAAGCCAAATAAGCCTTTGATGTTTACCGTTAACGGTTACATTGCCGATCTTCACCAGAACGGATTAAGACAAGCCAGGTGTTCCGCTTTAGCAAAATAAATGAGGTTGTACTCCGGTCGGTCCAAATTGAAACTTATCGGAAGAAAGTTGGTCGGGTGTTCCTTATCAATTGCAACACAGGTGCCACTGTCATGGTGTAAACGAATTGCTGTTTTACTCGCAAACGGAACGGACAATTAAACTTTATGATTGAACTTGTTTTTTTTTTTTTTTGTTTACACCTATTGAAGAGAAAAATAAACACTGCGTTTAGATAATTTTAATAAAAACGTATTTCTCTTCTGCATATTACATAAAATATGATTTAGGTTGTTTTTCGTTGCGTATAAAGTTTATATATTGAGTTGTAGATTTACGGAGATGGCTCTTCATAATGTAACGACCTATTAATAATAATAAATATTATTATTAATTAGTCATAATAAAGATCAATTAAGATGAAAATAAAACGTTTAAGAACGTTTAATCACAATAAAAGTTAATAATATATACTTAAATTAAAGAAATATAAGTGTTAGTATGAGAAAATGATATTACCAAAAATTGATAAAAAATAGTTAAAAAAATCACTTAAAATACTCAAAAAAGGATATTTATTAAAAATATAGCAAGATACGATCACTATTATGTCCATTAAATACAATTCCATACTTAGTGATTTCTAAGGGAAGTATCATGTACCGTGTGGGGACACATTTGTATGACCGCACATATGTAAGTACAGAGGTCGATCGCGACTCCTAGTACTATAGTCAAAGTACATTGTATGAACGTCCCATACCAATATCATATGGAAGTAAGGTCTAATGGATAAAAGTAATAATATGTGAAGGCTCAGAGAAAAAATAATAAATATATAAATATAATGAAGAGCAATGAATGACTTGGGACTTTATAAGACATATTACTATGGAGTTGCGTGGTACTTCTGTACGACGATATGGTCTACGGTAAACGTGGAACCATGAATGGATATGTCTTCAGTGGTGGACATATCATCGATAGCTGGTGGTAGTTGGCGTCTTAGTGACCATCACTAAGATACGTTGGCTGTCATTCGGCATAGTAAGAGTTTGGTGGTAGTTGGCGTCTTAGTGTGTTGCGCTATGATACGTCGACTGATCATCTGACTTTGGGGAGTCTGGTGGTGGCTTGCGTCTTAGTGTATTCCACTATGATACGTTGGCTATTACTTGGCTTGGGTGGGGGTCCGTTGGTGGTTGGCGTCTTAGTGTTTACGCTATGATACGTCGACTATCATTCGGATCGTGAAAGAGTATGTTTGGACACTTCGTGTGTTCCGAGTATATTCTAAACTTTGGAGCTGAAGTTGATTGGAGTTGTATTGGTGTGGTGTGAGGGTGTGCCACCTACGCGATAGTCACATTGATGCATGCGGCTATATGCAGTACTGCGTCTTGTGGTAGTTGCGGGGTGATCTGCGCCTAATATCATTGCATCGTATGATTCTGGTTGACGGAGGTTCGAGGTGATGATGTCTGCTGTGTATGCGGATAGGCTGTATGTTGGCGTGTTGACCTGCGATAGTTGTATTGATGCATGTTGCATTTGGTGACATTGCGTCTTGCGACATTTGCTTGGGAGACGACGCTATTCATAATGGCCGAGTCTGCGTCTCGGTTTGATGCACATCTCAGTAGATTTGTCCAAGTCGGGTTCCTGATGACGGAACTGCAGACTGTCTGACCTCTTTATACGTTTTATCATTATTAACAAATCTCAGTAAAGTTCCCACCGTTCGAACGAATAATGGCAACTTGCTGGTGGGTGAGACAAAACTTGATCGAAAATACATTATACTCAACGTCAGAGACACTGACAAATAATTATATGTTGCCAATTATAAACCCTTCTGATGGCTAAACATAAAAATCACAACTATGGCTATATCTGACTATTTCAATGGTTGGTGGAGCATATGCGTTTACCTCATGTGGATGGTAGCTGGCGGGAGAAAACCTCTCAAGGCTGCGGCGATGCCGTGCAACATTTTAACCATACCCTTGGGGCTACGCGCTCTGCGACGAAATGTCGTGCTAACCTTTTTAATGGTGGTGATGCCAAAACACTAACAATCACGTCTGCAGTCGCGGCGGTCTGGCAAAAGTGGTGGCGCTTGCGGAGGGCTTATTATATCATAGGGCCAGTGGGGAGGAAGGTTCTTGGCGATGTCCGTTGTTGGAAAGTAATGAGCTTCAACTTTAACATGTATAAAATTTAATGCAAGATAATTTTACACGTGTCGCTGTAATGCCGTCTGGTCGGTGAGTGCTCGACCCGAAGTTAGATGCGGAGACGCCCGAAAGCGGGCCACCGAGTCCTCCGTGTGTGCGTGCGTTAGTGTGTAGTATGCGCGCTAACAACATCCCCGGGTTGGGACGTTTAGTTCCAATTAAACAGATGACGGCAAGAGACAAAGCCTATTATATGCTCTTCGTATGGTCCCCGATGAAGTTGCAACGTCAGCTACACGGGCGATTCCGTCGCTCCCTGGATGCAGATGAACAACTCGTCCGAGCAGCCAGCGGTTGGGTGGCAAATGGTCGTCCTTTACTACCACCAGATCTCCAATGCGAAGCTCTCCTCTGTCTTTGCGCTGCCATTTATTTCGTCTCTGTAATTCTGAAATATATTCTTTGTAATATCTGGTCCAGAAGTGTTTTGTGAGGGCTCGTGTTCTCTGGTAGCGAGAGAGCGTGCAGATACGATCTTCCCTTTTTAGGTCATCTTGAGGATGAGGCAACATTGTTATTGTTCGTCCAATTAAGAAATGGGATGGCGTTAATGGAATCAAATCATTGGGATCGGATGATAACGGAGTTAGTGGACGGGAGTTAAGGATACCTTCTATTTGAATTAAAACTGTTATCATTTCTTCATAAGTTAAGTTAGCTAAAGATAAAACTCGTTTTAAGTGATGCTTAATAGACTTAACCGAACTTTCAGCTAGGCCATTAAAATGTGGACTATACGCCGGAGAGAATTTGAAATAAATTGACTGCTCTGTTGCATAAGAACTAATGTCGTTGCACTTAGATTTAAGGAATTTTGAAAGTTCATTGCTAGCTCCGACAAAATTAGTACCATTATCGGAGTAGATGTTAGCAGGCTTACCTCTGCGAGCTATAAATCGATTCAATGCAGCTATGAAACCCTCGGAACTTAAATCTGTAACCAACTCGATATGAACTGCTCGTACGGCCAGGCAGACAAACACACAAATATATGATTTTATTAATTTGCACCCTCTACCTTTTCTGTCCGCCAGACATATAGGACCAGCATAATCTACAGCAGTATTATAAAAAGGAAATTCGCCTTGAAGCCGTTCTTTGGGTAAACTAGCCATTATAGGTTGAATGGACTTGCCTGTGAACCTACAACATACATGGCATTCATGCGTTACCTTCCTTGCTAAGTTGCGACCACCTACTACCCAAAATTTGTGTCGCAGAGAGGCTAAAAGTAGTTGAGGTCCTGCATGGAGGAGTATTTTATGGAAATATCTAAATAGTAATATAGTAACCTGATGTGTGGCATGTAGTAAAACCGGGTGTTTAGTGTCATAGTCATAATTAGAATTAGTCAACCTACCACCAACTCTTATTAAGTTTTCATTAGACATAAATGGATTGAGATTTAATAAGCGAGAAGTTTGTGCCAACGATTTGTTTTTACTTAGCTGTAAATATTCGTTAGGGAAAATGTCAAATTGAACCAATCTGCATAATGTGTAAGTAGCAGACTTTAATTCTGATACCGTTAGATATTTAGCCATTTTTGCGCTAGGCTGCCTACAGTTATGAAAGAATCTTAATAAATATGCTGTGACGCGTTGTAATTTACCGTAATCAGAATACCTATCAACTAGTCTAAATTGTTCAGAAGCTAATTTACACTCAATTTTTGTCTCGGGCAAGTCGCTAATATAGTTCGCTTGAGCGGGCCAGTGAGACTCGTTCTGCAACAGAAATAGTGGACCGGTAAACCAGAGGCTTGAACTCTGTAACTGTTTGGCGTTGCATCCCCTTGAACCAATATCGGCTGGGTTATGATCGGTGGGTACGTATCGCCAAGCTTCAGGGGCAGAGGTTTCTGTTATTTCATTGATTCTATTTAGAACGAACGTTTTTAATGTCGATTTAGGAGCTCGAATCCACCCCAAAACAATAGTTGCATCGCACCAAAAGACACTACGATCTACTTTCAATCTTAAAGCAGTGGTAACCTTTTTTGACAACCGTACTGCTAGTAAAGCGCCACATAGCTCCAATCGTGGCACAGTCATACCCTTAAGGGGGGCTACTCTGCTTTTTGCCATAACTAAATTAACAGTGATGCTTCCATCTGCAGAAATAGATCGTAAATATGTGCATGCGCTGTAAGCGTATAAGGACGCGTCGCTAAATGAGTGAATTTCGATTATTGATGGCGAGTTACATACTACGCGGCGTGGTATTGAAATATTGTTTAATTGCGGTAATGACTCAACAAAGGCAAACCAATCTTTCTCAATTTCTGGAGAAAGTGGTTCATCCCACGAAATTTTAGAAGCCCATAGTTTCTGCAGTATAATCTTACCTTGCAGTATGCACGGATTAACAAGACCCAACGGATCGAATACTTGTCCAACTGTAGATAAAACTGACCGCTTGCTCGGCTTAAGATGTGATGAGTCAGAATTGACCGAAAAATGTAAAGTGTCCAATTTACAAGACCATCTTAGACCCAAAGTTTTGGCGTGATCATCATTAACTAATTTAAGCAATTTTTCATCATTACTATCGCATTGTATGCTATTTAGAATCTGAGGACAATTTGAACGCCATTTTCGCAAATAAAATTGACCCTTTTTCAGCTCTGCAATCACACCTTGGATTATGTTAGAAAGCGTAGATAAAGACTCATGACCTCCGATATAATCGTCGATATAAAAATCGTGTAGTATAGCTTCTCGGACTAATAAATCAGTACACTCCTGGCCTAATTGTACAAGACAGCGCGTAGCTAAATAGGGAGCTGAAGCTGTACCGTAAGTGACGGTGTTGAGTTTGTATAATTTAACTTCTTTACTAGGGTCGAATCGCCAAAGTATTTGCTGCAAGCATCGTTGATCTTCTGCAACAAGTACGCAACGATACATTTTTTCGCAATCGGAAGTTACAACAAATCGGTGCTGTCTAAAACGAATTAGAATGGAAATTAAGTCATCTTGTACAGTCGGTCCGATATATTGAATGTTATTAAAAGATATTCCTTTTGTAGTTTTTGCCGAGGCATCGAAAACGACTCTCAGTTTGGTGGTGAGACTGGATTCACGCAGTACACCATGATGAGGAAGTATATAAGTGTACTTCTCATCTGATATTTTGTTATTCGTACTTGCAGACATGTGACCAAGATCAATATATTCTTGAATAAAATCAAAATATTTCCTTTTAAGTTCTGGGTAACGTTTAAATTTTCTCTCTAAAGACAGTAATCTTGTCAGCGCCTGCTCATACGAATCACCCAATAGGTCTGGCGATAGCTTTAACGGAATTCGTACGATAAAGCGTCCGTCATCCTGTCTAATGGTGGTCGCAATAAAGTGTTGTTCACACTCGTCTTCTTGTTTTGTTGTCTTACGAGGTGAAGGTATCGATTCTAATTCGAAAAATCTATCTAGTTGTTGTTGAAGCTCGACTTCATTCACAAAATTGCAATGGACTGTATGAATGCGCGTATTATTATTTTTTTAATTTCTGCTGATTTATGGCACCAGAAACTAGCCAACCAAATTTAGTATTACTAAGAATCGGCCTATTTTTACCTAATATAATACGTTGGCTGCCTAATGTACTCCAAAAAACGTCCGCGTTTAATAACATGTCAATTTCAGATGGCGAATTAAAGTTAGGATCGGCTAAACGTAAACCACTGGGAATGTTTAATGAGGCAATATTAAAGTATGTGGTTGGTAACATTTGAGTTATATGTGGTATGATGAAGCATGAAATTTCAGTTGTATAGGATTCAGTGCGCGATGAGATGATGACATTAGAACGTTTAGAGATACGTATCGCTTCACGGCTTAACCCTTCTACTGCAGCTGATGTTGATTGGACAGAAAGATTAAGCCTTTTGCACAATTTTTCGGTTACAAAATTGGATGTACTACCATTGTCAAGTAAAGCGCGAACAGTGTAACGCTTACCATCACCAGTTAATATGTCAATGAGAGCTGTGGACAGAAGAATGCATCCGTTATGAGTAGAAGAAAAACCGACATGTATGTCTTGTGTATCCTCATCATGCAAAGCATGTTTATCTAGTTCAGTGTCCTGCGCTGTTGCAGCTAACGTTACGCGCTTATCACTTACAGTGGGGCAGGGTTTGCCACTGGTACCACCAGACTGCGCGGGCACTGCTATATCGTCACTATGCAGTATGGTATTGTGCCACTTAGCGCAGATTCGGCAGGGACCAAATCTACATTTTTCTACTCTATGTCCCTGACGTAAACAATTAACACAAAGTTTTAATTGTTTCGCCTTAGTAACCTTGGCTTCAGTAGTTAATGCCTTGAACGCAGGACATTGATAAATAGCATGATTTTGCTTGCAATTTGGACATGAATATGAATGAAGTGTTTTAACGACTAATGCACGCGGCCGTGAACTAATTGGTTCACTGTGTCTTCTTCGAACATGAGTTTGGTTTATGGTTTCTAGTAGTTCGGCTCGATTTTTTATAAATTTAATAAAGCATTCCAAATCTGGCATGTGTTCTAAATTATTTGTGTATTCTCTCCATTTTCTGTTTGTAACATTATCCAACTTACTAGAAACCATATGAATAATGAGTACATCCCAGTTCTGTGTATTAACTTTGAGAGTTTGAAGTGCTCTAATGTTTTTATTTAATGTATCGATCAAGTTTCTTAATGAAAATGAAGACTCTCTTGTTATGGGTTCAATGTCAAATAATGCCTGAATATGGTTATTAATAAGGACTTTATTATTATGATAGCGGTCACACAAGAGCTGCCATGCTATGTCGTAGTTATTGGCAGAGAAATCTAAAGAATTGATAACATTTGCAGCCCTATCCTGCAGTGAAGATTGCAAATAGTGGAATTTATTAATTTTAGGTATATTATCATTTAAATGAATAAGCGACGTAAAAGTATCATGAAATCTCAACCAATCTTCATAACGACCGGAAAAGGCAGGTAGGTGTATCGTTGGCAATTTAAGATTTGATCTACCTGCCGTAAGTACAGTACCTGCTACCGAGGCGGCCGAATCGTTATCATTGCCCAGCTGCACAGAAGTAAACCTGCTCACCAACTCATTTGCGTTGCTGACCGCTGCAAAGTACTCGATTTCAAACTTTTCGCGATATTGGTACTCCTTCTCGCGCTCAGCTTCTGAAATATCCATGAAACTTTCTATTTCAATCTGTAAGACATCAAATTCACCATACCACTCTTGAATCTTTGATATTCTAAGGCTGAGTTCATTAAGCTGTACTTTGCTAGGGTTTTTGCAAGTAGATAGGGTTTCAACATAAGAATTAAACTGCGTAAGCTTTGCTTTATATGAGCCACGTTTACGTTTTAGGTCGACTAATTGAGACATGGTACTAGAAAATAATATATATATTATAATAATCAAGCTTTCTACTGCTTAACAAATATATAAAACAAAGGTATATAAAAATAAAGAAAAAGCAAAACTAAAAGAATACCAAGTGCAACGACAAAAGAAAGCTATACTTAAATTAATATGTGCAGTGCAGGAAGACAGAGTAAGGGCAGTGAAAAAATGCAGCTGCAAGCCAGCAAGCAAGCGACGGCAGTGACGTGTGACGTTGGTAGTCGTAGCTGGAAACGTGGCGAGCGACGGTGACTGGACAGACTCGCGCGGCGCTCGCCCCGAATTACTAGCGATCGCTGCTGAAATATAATTTACACAAATTGCAAAGTATTTGCGAGAAAATCGTTAAATATAGTTCGATTTTAATGTTTACTGAATTTAAATGTAATGGATTTTATATACAGTAAAGCAATAAAAACAATAAAGTTATTAGTATACGTTTGAATACTATATATAATTATGAAGTGGATAGCAATTATTATAGCTTAGATTTAATGTTTCTAATAATGAATTATTTTTAATGTTACGTAAAATTTGTTAACATAAAAGTTTTATCATTATTTCATAAACGATTAGCGGAAAATATGAACCAAGAAATAATGGAAATATCGAGAAATAATGGAAATTAATTTGGATAGAAAAGAATTATATAAGGGTTGTAATGAAATGGGAACTAGGAAAAGATATGCCATGGAACGAACTCACAATTATTGGTAGGTGTCCCTTTGTCCTCTATGTGATTAATATCTACCCTCGTCGTTTATAATGTCAACGACGACAATCGTATTTAACGTCGTTTATAATGCCCACGACGATATTTGTTTTTTCATAAAACGTAATGCACTTCGTTTTATGTTCGATGACTTCACCAACGCTAGAATTTCCAAACTTGAACAATGATGCTCGCCGTAGAATAATCTTCCTACAAACGGGCGCTGGCAGACTTGATCTTCATCCGGCTCGTAGGTCCAAAATGGGGAGGAAGGTTCTTGGCGATGTCCGTTGTTGGAAAGTAATGAGCTTCAACTTTAACATGTATAAAATTTAATGCAAGATAATTTTACACGTGTCGCTGTAATGCCGTCTGGTCGGTGAGTGATCGACCCGAAGTTAGATGCGGAGACGCCCGAAAGCGGGCCACCGAGTCCTCCGTGTGTGCGTGCGTTAGTGTGTAGTATGTGCGTGCGTTAGTGTGTAGTGCCTGATCTTTAACACATGCCCAAAACCGTATTGACGTACATTCACGAAGACTGGATTTGTCGTCGGCTTGTATGACGTTTACACGCATTGACATGCGCGACTTCGGTCAAAGTTTGTGCTTACGCACTGCCAAGGGGCCAAGCCCTCTTTATGCTGGTAAAACAGCTTTGCAATGGACTTCGGTCCTTTCCCCAACTTTTGTCCCTCTTCTGGGGGGGGGGGGGGCGCAATATGTTGGTTGGTGCTCACCGCACACGGCGTTGGTGAGTGTTTTCATGGAGCCGTGTGCCTTCCCTACATTTTTTAAAAATGTGGGGGAGCCGTAGACTTGTATCGGGTATGTAAAATTGATGTGAGCCCTTTTCAAGAGAGAAGGGATATTATTTTAAGATTATATTGTGAGCCCTTTACAAGCGTGAGAGGGAGTATACTATATACTCTGAGCCCGTCTCAAGCGAGTCGGGATTAGTTAATAAGAAAGCAATCTAGCATTATCTCTGGCTTATACCACAACTAGTGAATATTTATCTATCCAAGATCCACCTAAAAGAATCAAGTTACTAATTAAACACAACGTAAATGAGGTCCTACCGAATATGACGATCACAATAATATTTTATACGGCTAATTATTACCTTTAGAAAGATCCTATAGAAAGATCAATAAATTATCCTGGTCACGTAATGATGTTATATGATTTATTCATATAATGGGGGAAAAAAAAATATATAAGTTATAATTATATATATATACACATTAAAAAGGGGGGTGCGAGTTACAATTTGGTGCCGTGACCAGGATATTAATAAACATGAAATAACATGCCGTAATACTAAAAAGTTTAAGTGGGCTAATATGCCTACAATTTGTTGCACGTGAAATGGAAAGGTGTCTTGGAGGATAGTGTTTGCTGGGGGTGGTTGACAGCCTGGGGGTGGTGTAGAGATGCTTAATATAAAACATTGTTCTAGATACCTGAAATAACCCGATACTAAGAGTGACAATTGAAGTTGAAGGGAATTATAAGTGACTGAAGTGACATTGAAAAAAGTGTTTAATCGAACGATTTTAAGTGCGAAGTGCAATAAAAATGGGAAAACCCAAGAAATCAGTTGCTGTTCCAAAGCAAAATAAAGATATCAAAATGTTACAAAAATTAATTAAGAAGGCTGTGAAAAATTTTAATGAAAAATTTTATGAGTTGGAGAATAAGATTACAACTCTAAACAAAGTTCAAGAAATACAAGATAATGACTGTGAGGTGTTGGGGGCGAGCACCTCTAACATAAAAGAAATTAATCATAGTGAGGTGTTGGGGGCGAGCACCTCTAACATAAAAGAAATTAATCATAGTGAGGTGTTGGGAGCGAGCACCTCTAATATAAGAGATACAAAACAACATATTGTTTACAATGTAAGCAATATAACAATTGATAAACCGAAATATGGAGGAAATGATAATAAACATCCTGTTACATTTTTGGAAGATCTCACAAACTATTTAAAGAAAGTACCATCTGAAGGTCTCGAAATTGCTATAGCACAGGAGTGTTTAACAGGCGAAGCCAAATATTGGGCTCGGATCAATAATGAGCGTTGGAAGACTTTTGACGATTTTAAGATGGATTTCTTAAAAGTATTTTGGGGTGAGGACAAACAGAATAAAGTAAGGCGATTCTTAGTACAAAATAAGTGGAATCGTTATACACACCCCCCACGATGGTGAATCATTTTCTTTATGCAATCGAAAGAGCGCAAATGTTGACATATCCAATACCAGAAAAGCAATTAGTGTCCGATGTCATAGGACATTATCCTAAAAATATTCAACAGCTATGGAGGATAGCTAAAATTGAAACTATTGTTGAAACAATAGATTTATTAAGGAATTTAGATGATATTGATAAAAGAGATGAAGGTGATGAAGGTTGCGCAAGCGAGAAAAAGCAAAAATTTAATTTTGATCAAAAGCAACGAAATATACAAAAATCTTATAAAGCTTGGCGTAAACCAGTAGAGGAGAAAAGTAAAAATACAGAGGTTCATGAGATACAAGTTGAAAATGAACAAATTGATAATGTGGAATCTGTTCCAAATTTAGTCAAGTAAAGGTCGGACTAGTTCCCGGTACGATCTATAAATATGTAAAAGGGAACGTAGCATTAGAGATATTATTAAAAATGGGATGGCGACCTGGCCAGACAATTGGTTTAAATAACAGAGGTTTGAAAAAACCTATTTCATTAAAAGTCCAATTTAATAAAGAAGGACTGGGATATAATGATGACTTAAAAAAGTTAATTGAAGTCATGAAAGTCAGATCAGTCTTGCCTATAACTGAATTATTCGTGCAAACTGTCTTCGAGGAAGACAATGATAAATTAGAAAAGGGATTTATAGGGAGTATGAAATGTATAATTAAAGTCAATGTATTTGAAAAAGAAATAGAAACACTAGTTGATACTGGTAGCGATATAACATGCATCTCAGAGAGTCTATATTTACAACTAAGAAATAGCAATCAAAAGTTATCAGTAATGCCAGTCAAGGCAATGCAAATAAAAGGTGCTGTTGGGCAGCGCAGCACAAAGATACAACAAATGATTATATTGCCTATAAAGATAGGAGATGTAGTGTTTGAGACTCAGACACTAATCATTAATAATTTAATAAGACCCCTAATATTGGGTTTTGACTGGCTTAAGAAAAATAAAATTATAATTGATTTAAGAAATAATAAAATGGGAATTCAAATTAATAGTAAAAACAAAACTTATTTTATGCCATTTGTGGATAATGAACAACGCATTCTATCAAGTAATTGCCTCGAGCAAGATGTTACTGATGTTATATCAAACATTAAAATAGGTTCTACTCTGGTAGAATCAGAAAAGGCAAAGCTCATTAATGTTATTAAAAAGCATAAAAATGTATTTTCAAGTAAATTGGGTAGGGCAAATTGTTATGAACATAAAATAGAAATGATTGACAACGAACCAGTTGTTACTAGATCATATCCAATTCCATATGCATATCGATCGAAAATGGAAGAGAAGTTAAATGAAATGGAGATGGCTGGTATAATTACAAGGGCTTCAACGCCATACAGTAGTCCTTTAACATTTACATTAAAGAAGGATGGCTCCATAAGAGTGTTGCTGGATGCAAGGAGCATTAATAAGAAAATGGTGGCGGAAACAGAGAAACCACCTATTCAATTAGATGTTTTAAATTCATTTCATGGTGCGAATTATATAACTACCATCGATTTAAATAATGCATATTTCCAAATACCTATAAATAAAGATGGTAGAAAGTATACTGGCTTTACATTCAATGGAAAGTCATATGTATATAATGTATTGCCACAAGGATTAAAAACTTCAGTTGGAAGTTTTAGTAGAGCAATGAATTTCATATTAGGACCGGAAGTCCAAGAATTTTGTGTTAATTATCTTGATGATTTGGCAATAATAACAACAGGCAGCCTAGAAAAACATTTGGAACATATTGATATTATTTTAAATAAATTAGATAAAGCTGGATTAACATGTAACTTGGAAAAATGCGAATTTATTTGTAAA